AGAATTAGGCTTGCAGTGGCTTTTTAATTTTAATGCCAACAAAACCTTTACCATTTACTATAAACAAATACAAGTATCACTTTGATACTTGTAATATAGAAATATTGTCTTAAAAGTCGACATTTCTATATTGATAAAAGGCAAACCTCTCAGTCAATTGATTGCTAAATTAACATCACCTAATGTTGCTTCAAATCTCTTATTCAATCCTGTATGAAATACTAGTGTCATACTTCTGCTGGTTCCTTTAATGATGCCCTTTTTCTTCTAGACAAGGTCAAAAAATGTAAACATAGTTGGATCTGTTCCATCTGCCAAGCTTGAGCCTCGCTTAATTGTAAAGTTTCTTTCTCTTTCCTTCAAATACTATCATGATTGCTGCTCAAAGGAGCTATCATTTCTAGTTCCATCCAACAAAACTCATTCTCGTTTGATTCATCATTTAACAAAGTCTCATCCTTGTTTATTTGTTCCTGCATGCTCTCAAAAATCTTATATTTGTGTAGTTTTTTTCTCTGCGCTTTCAACCCTTCGAAACTCTGTCCCATCTTCATGTTTTCTTGACTCATACAACCTTCAACTTTTCAAGTCAACTGTTTCCCTGCTTAACTCTTAACCCCAGCATTTACTTGCTTACAGCCTTGTGAATCTGAATTATAAAAAAACTTGCATATTTCATTCTCAGAGTAGAATAAAATAGTTTTTTTTTTAAATAATGTTTCTTTAAAAACTAAGAGAAAAATTTGCTTGATTTGTATATAGCAGACATATTTTAATAATACATTTAAAGAATTAAATTTGTAACAAAATAGAAGTGATTGCAATATATTTATATATATATATATATATATATATATATATATATATATATATATATATATATATATACACAGCGTGTAAAATAAAAAATCGAAGGCGAGCGGTCAATTTGACCAGCTAACCCTTGGAATTGGCGGTCAACTGTTTTTTTTGGACGGTCAACATTTTTATTATTTTCTTTGTTTTCATTTTAATCTTTGTAATAGTTCTTCATGACTTTACTTTACAAATACAAAAATAACTTAATATTTGATCATTAACAAATTAGTATTACTTTTTTAAATTTGCAAATAACTAACATTGAAATTACACGCCAAAGTTAATAGTTTAAAATTAAGCGCGCAGATTTTCATTTTATTACTTAAAGGAAGTTTGATAAATGGATAAACTTTTTCAAAATTTTAATGATTGTATGATAATTTAGTACATGCTTTTTCCAAATAATAATCTGATTATTTTTCAAATCATGTTTTTTAAAATTCTGATTATTTTTTAACCGGTCAAGAATTCATTTTGGGAGGTCAAAATAGCAATTTTACTCATTTTGGGCGGTCATTGACCGTTGACCGGCTGTTATTTTACACACTGTATGTATATATATATATATATATATATATATATATATATATATATATATATATATATATATATATATATATATATATATATATATATATATATATATATATATATCAGGGTTGGCAAAAAAACCCAACCCGAAAAAACCCAAAAAAAAACACCTTAAAAAAACCCAAAAAAACCCAAAATATATTTGGGTTTTTTTAAAAATGACCTATTTTACAACTGATAACTCTGATTTTAACACTTATAAATGCTTTATTATCAGCAAGTGCAACCTTTATACTGTAATTACCCTTGTAAACACTGTATTTATATACATAATGGTCTTTAGGATATACCCAAAATCGATCAATATGTTTTTGTAGCAAGTTGGTTATTTATTATTTTTTTAAAACATTTAGCAAGTTATTATAAATGTTATTGAAATATGTATTAAAACATTAAATTAGTTAAATACTTATAAAGGAAATAAAAATCATTCTATTAACTAAATTTCAAGACATTACTAGTTATTTAGTATCTTTATTCTCCTCTCGAATGTCTGTATTCTTTTATATTGGTATTTGATTTTTTATTTTTTAAAGCTTATGTTGTAAACTGCAAAAAAAAAAAAAAAAAAAATACAAAGCCACAAGCAAAATACTATATATAAAAATTAAACTTTATTTACAGTTTAGAGATGGAAAGTTGTCAGGCAAAAAAAATGCTACAGTTTACTAGATTTGTCCTTCAGTGCATACAACTTTAAAACTTAAAAAAAATTAAGTTATGTGCAAGCAAGCTTGCAACATGTTTGCTCATTCAATGAGAGAACATGTTGAAAACTTGTATGCATTTCACAAAAACAATATTTGTTGGTAAAAATGACACTCGTGCTCATCTGTCTTTTGAATATTTAACAGGTTTTGAATATTTTGCATCAGCTACAAGTTTAAAACATGTACCACCAACAGGGGTGACTATGAACAGCGGGTTGAAAATTAACATCAGTATCAAGTTGCGAAAAGGTGAAGAAACACACACACAATAGAGCTATATAATGTGTTACTTTGGTTCAGTTTGCAATTTGCATTGCAAAACTGAGCCGGTAAAACATCTTCAAGGAAAAAAAAAAACTTGGTGGCGAAGACACTGTAATGGTTCTTAACAAATTTACTTTATATATATTTAGAAACAAAGTTTAGGCAAAAATCCATTTTTTGCCAGTCCAGTTGATCAGGCCGATAACTTTTCCGAGAAGCTAGACAGTATATTGTTCTGATAAAAAAAAATGTTGTGATTAGGCTAGCAGTTTTCTTCTATGATACAAAAATGTTTAAAAAGTGTTCATAGTCATCCTGATTGATAATAACTTATAAGGTTGCAACATCATGTTGCAAACTTGTTGATTACATGTTGTAAACTTGTGCAAAGTAGTTTTTGAACATGTTAGTAAAAAAAACTAGTTTGCAACATTTGTATTGTCTTATCAACTTTGAATAACTCAATTGTCATAATTTTTACACTGATTTTTTTTTGGTCAAAGATGTTCTGAACATGTTTTTAATTTAGAGCAATTAATTAACATCATTTATAGTTGATGGAGTCCCTTTTTGCACTATAGGTAAAATGTGCTAGTAGACTAGTAGTAAAACATTTGGCTCGCAACCAGAAGGTTGGGGTTCAAATTACTTCTGCTGAAGATACTGTCTCAATCTATTTCTCCACACAGCGCCTTTGTTTAAAAATTTTAGTTGTTAATGTTGTTTGTTAGTAAAAATGGTAATGTTAAGGATTGAGACAAAATATTTTTAAAAAATGAGTTGCTCCCTTGACTGAAATGGTCATTGGAGCAATAGGGAGGTGAATTTATAAAATTAAAAAAAAAAAATTATTGTACTCATACAATTATAAAAATTTGGTATTTTGATCGATTTTTAAAAAAACCCAATAAAACCCAAAAAAACCCATTTGGGTTGGGTTTTTTTAAAAAACCCTGGGTTTTTTCCAAACCTGATATATATATATATATATATATATATATATATATATATATATATATATATATATATATATATATATATATATATATATATATATATATATATATATATATATATATATATATTTGTGTGTGTGTGTGTGTGTGCCAAATTCTAACCAAGAGCTGCACAACAACTTAACAAGACACTGATATAGTTTAATGTGTTTAAGACAATTGTCCAATTTGGTGAAAATTTGAGAAACATAGTTGTTAAATTGTTGTTAATGAAACACTTTACTTTCATTTGTTTTTTAAAGTTGGCAGAACATTTTGTTAACACTCTACTGGTAAGAGGTATCTTGGAACCATGGGTAAACTTTATTTTCTTATGTAGTTAATGATGTCAGCAAGATGTTTTTGTAACTCATTCTCAAAATGTTCTCAAAAACCTACTTGTGGGGCTACATTTTTATACAAAATTTTAAATAAAAACAAAACAAAAAAGATTTTTTTTCCCATTCCTTCTATACAACATTGCTTTCTATACACTGTTTCTCTACTGCATTGTGGAAAGAATGATTTGAAAAGCTAAAATAAATATAAACTAAAAATCTATAAAACTGTGATCTGCTCCTATGTTTTTGGAGGTTTAATAAAATTTAAACTTCCAATACAAAAGTTTACTTGAATGCTGCATTACCTTTTTTGCAACTTTGTAACTATTATGGGTTAACAAAAAACTCTTTGCACATGTGTTAATAACTCTTTGCACATGTGTTAATACCTTAACTTAAAACACAGTTTTAAGTTAAGGTATTAACACATGTGCAAAGAGTTTTTAATAAACTGATTCCAGTAAAGTATAAATTTACTTGATTGAGTAAGTTAAATTTATCAATGGTTAACTTTACTGGAATAAATAAGTTAAATTTATTATGGGTTCTAAACAATGTCTTTCTACCTGACATAGGGCATAGTTATGAGAGCATTACAGGAGTCTCAATATTACCAAAAAAAAATATTTTTCAAAATTTTGTCAATTTGGTACTTAAAAGAAGCAAAAATGTTTTGTAAGAATAATATTTAAAAAAAATTGTCAAAAAATTTCATTAAGCATTAGCTAAGTTTACTTAAAAAAGATTTTTGCAATAAAATCTAAAAATTTGTAAAAAAAATTTTAAATTTTTATTTAAAATTATTTTTCGCAATAACTTTATATACATCTTCAATCTGTTTTTATTTTCACATCTCCCAGGTCTACAAAACTGGACGGTTCCGTTGGTCACTTGTTGCGATCATTGTGTCGCATAAACAAAAAATTTTATTAAGCATTAGCTAAGTTTACTTAAAAAAGATTTTTGCAATAAAATCTAAAAATTTGTAAAAAAAATTTTAAATTATCTTAGAATAATAATGATCTGTTTTTTTGTTTTGTTTTGTTTTTTGTTTTGACTTTTTAATATGTTTGTTAATATTATGTGTGTTTTTAATATGTATGTTAATATTATGTGTGTTTTTAATATGTATGTTAATATTATGTGTGTTTTTAATATATATGTTAATATTATGTGTGTTTTTAATATGTATGTTAATATTATGTTTGTTTTTAATATGTATGTTACTATTGTATTACTAGGTTTATCAAACTCATCAACAATGGACTCACATTTATTTGATATAAACATCACCACCACCTTGAAACCTACTGATAGAAGTATATATTTTTTAATTCAAAAAAAATCTTTTTATTTTGTTCTTCACCTTGATTGAACATTTAAAATATGTAAAAATGTTAATTTAAATTTAAAATAAGTTAATTTAAAAAATGTAATGTTAAGAATGTTAAATGTTAATGTTAAAAACAATCTTCTAGCTAGTTTTGTAACAAATTTTTACAATTTTAAGTTCAAAGGTATCTTTTTTATGCTTCTCTTGTGTTGGTAAATTATATATAAATTATATATATTATAAAATAATTTTTTTATAACATTTCAATTTATTTTAGAATATGAAATTATTGTTAACTGGGGACAAAATCTTGGTGGAAATGAAATGGCATTAAATGCATATTGTGATTCAAAGGCTTATGATATTATAATAATAAATACTGTTGATATTTTTTTTGATGATCAAAATGCAGGTAATTTTGAGAATATGAAAAGTTAGATTTTTAGCTTTAGTTTAAGTTCTAATTTATAGCTTTATAAATTTGGGTATAATAATTCAAAAAAATTAAATTTATTGAAAACAATTAAAAGTTATGTAGTTGAATTAAAATGAAAAATTTGCAATGAATATAACTATGTGTATAAATAGTGGTGTGTATGAATATGTGGTATGTATGAGTATGTGGTGTGTATGAGTATATTGTGGGTATGAATATGTGGTGTGTATGAATATGTGATATGTATGAATATGAGGTGTGTATAAATATGTGATATGTATAAATATGTGGTATGTATGAATATGTGGTATGTATAAATATGTGGTATGTATGAATTTGTGGTGTGTATGAATTTGTGGTATGCATGAATTTGTGGTGTGTATGAATTTGTGGTATGTATGAATTTGTGGTGTGTATGAATTGGTGGTATGTATGAGTATGTGGTATGTATGAATAAAGAATGATAAATGTTAGGCTGTAGTCAAAGCTAAAAGGGTGCTGTTGAAAAAAATATTCTACTGTTGTGACTTTTGTGATCTTTTGTGTTGTGACTGTGATCTTTTGTGTTTTTTATGCATTTTATGTACAACTGCATCTTGAGTTCTGCTTATCTGTCTCTTTTTATTGTATAGACATTGACACTCTTGAGGTAGTGTAAAATAGAGCCACTACTATGTTTTTTCTTAAGTCTTCAAATTATCATAAAAGACAAGTCACAATCAATATTCAATCTATTGAGGATTATCTCTATGCAAAAAACCCCTATGCAAAATAGTTTAAAAACTAAACGTTATTGTTATAAACAAACTAATGTAGTAGAGTATTAAACCAATTTCTTAAATATATTTATTCCATTTTTTGAAGCATAAGTTAGATATGCTTCTATTGAAATTATAAATAGATCATTTTGAGACACTGATGCTTTATTTCCACTCATCTCTTGTGGAGCTGTCTTAAAGTTGTGTCTTAAAGTTGCAAAGCCGTCTTAATGTTGTGTCTTAAAGTTGTGATAAGTACATTAACTAAAAGTACTATAGTTTTTTTTCTAAGCATAACTTCTGTTATATATGTTATGTAATTTGTACAACATATGTCCATTTTTTTTTTTTTTTTTTAAAAAAAAACATTGCTGTAGCAGCCTTATCTTAAATCTTAAAAGATCAAATACGCAGTTTTTAACAAGCACAACCATTACACAAAGATATATGTAGAGCACAGTAATACTAGGGACATAATTGGGTACTTCTTGCATACAAAGATTTAGCGCAAACTGCATTTAACATTGCTCTAATGTCACAACTTAATGTTTACTTTTTAATTAAAAAAAATGTATAATCCAGAATTTTAAGATTCTACCATTTTTTAGTCTGGAATCGGGAATTGCAAAGTCCAAAAAATTGTCTTTTAAATTGAATTGATTTAGCATTACTGGTATATGCGTATACATATATGTATGCACATATGTAGATATATAGATATAGATGTAAATTAAAACAAAGAATAAATACAGGTTTGCGATCTGGTTAGAAAATAAATTAAATAGTCAAAAAAATTAATTATTCGAAATTAAATAGTCAAAAATAATAATCTGTAAAGAAATCATAAAATATAAAAGTTTTTAAACAAAACAAAATTTCATGATATAATTTAAAATTGTTATAAATAAAAAGTATAATATAAAAATTTGTTTTATTTTGTTTAAACTTTAAGGCAAACTAATAAAATTTACCGATTCAAAGTAAAATGTGTGGCAATTGCTAATTTTTATTTTCTCGGGTAAAAGTTTTTATTAAGAAATTTTCATTAAATTTTACAACGATATTGACCAAAATAACCTGGTCAGATTAATAATATCTTTAGTTGTTTGCCCATCAGGTAAAGTTAATTTGAAAATTATCACCAAGAAGTGCTTGTCTTTTAAGTTTGTTTATTTGTATACGCTTGTCTTTTAAGTTTATTTATTTGTATAAGTTGATTGAAGTATTAATGAACTTTTATTTATTTCTATTTTTTTTTAATTTTAACATAGCAATAAGTATTTTTATCCAGTAATTGTATTACCTGAATTAACAAATAATTTATACAAATATATGTTTAAAACGTAATAGTTGCAAGAGTTGTGATAGAACTATGTTATTTTTGTTGCAGTAAATTGTTTTTTTCCTAAAAAGATTTTCGCAATCTGGTAAATTTTAGGTTTCTAAAATTGTATGGTTTATGGTTATACGGTTTTATTAAGGTTTATGGTTATATGGTTTTATTAAGCATATCAAATAAGAAGAAAATAAAATAAGAAAAGTTGTTTTGAAATTTTTTTTTTCCAGATAATTTACCGGGTTTTAACTTAGCCAATCATTGTAATGGCGTGTTTGAAGGTAACTTTAAATCTTATTTACAATGCTATTCTATTGGCGAAGATATCAAAGGATGTCAAAAGAATGGAAAGAAAATTTTATTATCTCTTGGTGGTGGCACTCGCTGGAATGGATTTTCTTCTGCATCTCAAGCAAAGTTGTTTGCACACAATCTTTGGAATTTGTTTATGGGAGGCACTCATGCTACTCGTACTTTTGGAGAGTATGTTTTTTTCAAAAATATCAATACTTAATGACAATGATTTGTTTTATTACTGTTCTGTGATTTGTCTTTACAACATTATTATTACTTTTAGCATTTTAATATTTGTAATTATTTAAATATTTGTAAAATGATAAAATATTTTTTTAATACATTTTAAATAAATACATTTTTAAGCTTTTGATAAAGTTTGGCATGTTGGTCTTCTCCATAAGCTTCCTTCTTATGGTGTAGCTGGTAACGTCTTTAAGATTATTGAGTCCTTTCTTTCCAATCGTAGTATAAAAGTTGTCCTCGATGGACAACACTCTTCTTCACATCCTGTAACTTCAGGGGTTCCTCAAGGTTCAATCCTTGGCCCTATACTCTTTTTAATTTACATTAACGATCTTCCAGATATTCTCACATCTAAGGTGGCATTATTCGCTGACGACACTACCATTTACTCTTGTCATGATAAGAAGCCTACACTCTCTGATTGCTTGGAGGGGATATCTGAGCTTGAAAAGGATCTCACTTCTGCTACAGCATGGGGCTCACAGTGGCTGGTGAACTTTAATTCAGATAAAACTCAATTTTATTCGGCCGATCGTTATCGTAATAATTTAGATCTTCCTATATTTATGAATGGTAATGTACTAGATGAGTCATCTACCATTCATCTTCTAGGATTAACTCTTACTTCTGATCTTTCTTTTAAGCCGTATATCAAATCCATTGCAAAATTAGCATCTGCTAAGGTTGCATCTCTTTATCGAGCTCGACACTTTCTTACTCCAGATTCTATTCTCTATCTCTATAAATCTCAAATCCGTCCCTGTATGGAATACTGTTGCCACATCTGGGGCAGATCTTCTAATGATGCTCTTTCTCTTTTAGACAAGGTGCAAAAACGAATTGTAAACATAGTTGGACCTGCTCTGGCAGCCAATCTCCAACCTTTGTCACATCGTCGTAATGTTGCTTCTCTTTCTCTTTTCTACAAATACTATAATGGGCACTGCTCTAAAGAGCTAGCGTCCCTTGTGCCATCTACTAAAATTCATTCTCGTGTTACTCGCCATTCAATTAAGTCTCATCCTTTTTCTGTGACTGTTCCTAAGTGCTTCAAAAACTCTTATTCTTCTAGTTTTTTTCCTCGAACATCAGTTCTTTGGAATTCGCTTCCTTCATCTTGCTTTCCTGATTCATATAATTTGCAATCTTTTAAGTCATCAGTCAATCGTTATCTTGCTCTACAGATTTAGTCTTTTCTCTTCCAGTAACTTCCAACTCTTATAGTGGTTGCTTGCAGCCTTGTTGGAAGTGAAGATGTTAAAAAAAAAAAAAATACATTTTAAAATATTTGTAAAATGATAAAATATTTTAAATATTTGTAAAATGATAAAATATATTTTATAAAAATAATAATAGTTAAAGACGCCAGTGCAGTAACAGCATAGCTCCACTTTTGTCAAATTTTAGGTAGAAAAGAAACTTTCAGCAAAAACCAGTTTCATTACACATAAGGTTTAACAGAAAAATCTGTATTCTCTACTTTCACTTGGTGTAACTGTGAAGTAATAATTTTTTACTCCTGTCCATTTACTGTGTCATAGTATTGTATTAGTATTATTGTCAAGTAGAATACATGCATCGATTTATTTAATAAAATTAGTTTTGTGATTAATAGTGGCATACTTCCAAAAGTACTTCCAAAAATGATTTTAAATCAGAGAGAAACTAAAGTATGATGCAAGAAAAAAGTATGATGCAAGAAAAAAGTATGATGCAAGAAAAAATTGATAGAGTTTATGGCATGTAATAAAAGTAAAAGCAAAGAAGAAATCAAATATTCTTCTCTTCATTATATGTTGTGAATCTAAAATAAGTTAAATGTATTGTTAAACAGTTGCAAGTAGTGAATCTAAAATAAGAAATGTTTGTTAAACAGTTGCAAGATATTCTCACTAAAATATTATTGGTCTCCCAAGTTAAATAGGCAAAAACTGCACTAAATCAACTCAATTCACAAAAAATAAGCCTTTTATTTACAATAGTTTGAAAAATAATATAAATGCAACAGCTACTGATTATTTTTGTTGTCAAGCCAACATTTACTGATTATTTTTGTTGTCACTTCATAAAATGTTTTACAAATTTTTATAATTCATTTCATAAAACTAATTTTTTCTGAAAAAAAGCGCATAATAAAAAAGTCAGATATTTCTTCATACAAATAAAACAAAGTAAGTATAAGTAATACTGAAAGAGTAGAAAATATTTTATTACCAGAAAAACACTTGGAAAGTAGTGATGCCTAATTCAAAGCCTTACTTTGGAATTATAATTTTTGTATATACGCAGCCAGTTTTAAAAAAATCTACTTCTTTATGTATGACAGGCCCGTAACTAGGGGGGGGCGCGCTGATTAGAATGGCTGTTACCCTCCGTTTTAAAAAAATGGTCCGGTCTCAGAATTTTACTAATTTATGGTTTCCCTTATTTTTTCATTAAAAGTAACTTTAGTTAAGTTAACTTTAAAAATGCTGGTTGTCTCAAGAATTTTTAAAATTCTTAGTACTGCCAACTTTTAAAACACAATAATTAACAAAAAAGTCAATTAAATTTTATTACATAGCAACATAGTGCATGAAAGGTTAAAAGTTTTTTTTTAAAACATTAACCAATAAAACTGCTTTTTAAAAAATGATTAGCTACAAAATTAAAACATTACAGTACATATTATACTGTAATGAAATTGTTATGTACTAGATAACAATGTGTTTTGCTTTTGTCATTTGAATTAAGACTTATCTCAAGCGTTTTATTTTTCTGTATTTTTAAACATTAGTTTTTACTTTATTCTTATAAATTGCTAAGTTTACTATGAATCAAAAAAGTAAAGGTGGAGCTGAGAAGGAACAATTTAAAAAACTTAAAAAGTTAACATCTTCTGCAAAAGAATGTGTGAAGTTGACATCTTATTTTTAAAAAAAAGTCATACGCACAACAAAAACATGAGCAGGTCTTCAGTAGAACTCGTGCAACAACAACTACAGGTTTTTCATGAGAAAATGCCAACATCTTTAAAAACAATATTTCCTCTAACATATTTGTAGAAAATTCTGGCAGTTTTCATGAACTTCACAGAGAAAATAAGTCACACGAGTTATTATCTTTTATTGCGATCAGTAATCATCAACAAAACGACGTTAAAATAGTCAAAGAACACTCAAAAATGATGTCAGATGTCGAGAACGCTCATTTTTTTGACATTAGAAATGTAATTACGTCTACTATGAACTTAAAGATTATTGAGCAAAGTATTACAAAGATGCTGCCTGAAATCAAAATTCAATACATAACAAAACATGTTATACCAACACACTCTCAAAAAATTTTTCGATCAAATGGATAGGCAAATGTTATTTGGGCATGTTATTCTGTTGTGCAGCAAGGTTTGTTTTGTGGCCCATGTGCTTTGTTTTTAAAAGAAAGAGATGATAAGGGGTCTTTTGTTAATAGAGCCTTAAATAATTGGAATAAGCTTAATAAAAAAATTAGATTATTACAAAAATAGAGTTTATCACAAACGTTGTTTGGACGAACATTGTACTATTCAATCAACATTTGAAAATAATTCTTTTAGAGTAGACAGTCAACTGAATAAAGAACTTGTTGACCGAATCAAATACAATACTCGAATTTTAAAATGTATCATAAAAGCTGTTATTTATTAAGAAAACAATGTATACCTCTGCATGGTACGCCTGAAAATGTAGATAAACTTGTAAATGTTGGTAACTTTCTTTCACTGCTTAAATTAATGTGAGATTCTAACAGTGAATTGCATCGGATCAAAAATGAAAAATGCTCGTTATATTTCAGCAAAGATTCAAAATGAGATTATTTCAGTTTTAGGCAAAGATATGGTACAAGCTTCTATAATAAAAGAAATAAAGGAAGCCAAATATTTCTCTATCCTTGCAGATGCAATTAATTCCCATTACACAGACTATGCAACTATCTCTTGTACTTAGATTTTTTTATAAGAAACATGAGATACACTAGGAGTTTGTGGCATTTGTAAAGTTGGAGTGTGTGAGAGCCGAAGATTTTTTAATTAAAATTAAACAAACTTTACATGAGCTTAATTTGAATATTGAAAATATGAGAGGCCAAGGATACAATAGTGCAGCATCAATGGCAGGTTCTTTATCAGGTGTACAAGCCCGATTTCTGAGCATTCAACCAAAAGTAATATACACCTATTGCGCTTGTGATAGATTGAACTTGGTTATTAGTCTTTCTTGCAAAATATAATGCAAAAAAATTGCAAAATAAAGGTTCTTACTGATATTTGTGTTATGAGATGGGCTGAAAATTAAGATGTTTTGGAGAAATTTCCTTTAGCTCTTTCGTTTCTGATAGTACTTGTGAAGTCATTTCAATGTCGATGTGGCAATAATTGTGAATATGCCAAATTGCTGCACAAGTGGACTGCTGAAGACAAGCGTCAAGCACTGTTTTTTCTGAAAGAGTTTTGATTTTATTATTTCACTAGTTACACTACAGCAAACTATGTGGTTTCTTTGTGATCCTATAGTTAAGTTGCAGAACAAATCTAGTGACATTATATCTGCCTTCAAGTGTGTTAAAACTGTTATCACAGAAATAGAAGTCATGAGAACAGACGTAGATATATTTGCTTAACTAATATATAAGCATGCATCGTCTCTTGCCGAAAAATCAAAAATAAATCCAGTAGCGCCACGAGTACACACAGGTCAACAATCTCATCAAACGAATCCGCCCTTTAAAACTATTGAAGAATATTTCAAAAGGTCTCTGGCCATTCTATTTATAGATGATATATTAGTTGAATTGAAAGATAAATTCAAATCATCAGATACAATTGAGTTATTATTAAGTTTTATACCTTCTACTATCTGCATCAAAACATCAATGGAGCTATCTGAAATGGTACAAAAAGCTATGATATATTATGAAAGTGATCT